TAGCTGAGCGGATGAACCGAACTTTGACAGAGAGAGCCAGAAGCATTCGTATACAGTCAGGCCTACTGAAGCAGTTTTGGGCAGAAACGATCAACACAGCAGCTTACTTGATCAACCGAGGTCCATCGGTTCCATTGGAGCTTAGAATACCAGAGGAGGTATGGTGCAAAAAGGAGGTAAGCCTCTCATATCTTAAAGTTTTCGGTTGTGTTGTTTATGTGCATATTAGTGATCAAGATAGGAATAAGCTTGATCCCAAGTCCAAGAAATGCACATTCATCGGGTATGGTGAAGATGAGTTCGGCTACCGTATTTGGGACAACGAAAACAAGAAGGTGATCAGGAGCAGAGATGTGATATTCAACGAGAAGGTGGTGTACAAGGACATGCACAAGACATATGACTTAGAGAGCGAGTCAACATTTGTAGATGCAGATGATGTCCCAATTAACCTCTCGGAAGAACCCAATGCAGAAGAGCCTGTTAGACAGAACGGTGCGCAGGAGCCCGACGCACTAGCTCCGATATTAAGAAGATCTTCTCGGCCTCCTGTGCCCAACAAGAGATATATGAACTATCTGTTGCTGATAGATGGAGGAAAGCCTGAAAACTACGATGAAGCTTGTCAGAGTGGAGATGCGAGCAAGTAGGAGCTTACCATGAAAGATGAGATGAAGTCTCTCATCTTAAACTAGACGTGGGAACTAGCTGAGTTGCCCACGGGTAAGAAGACACTCCACAACAAATGTGTGTACCGGGTAAAAGAGGAGCATGATGGTTACAGAAGATATAAAATCCGACTAGTTATCAAAGGATTCCAACAGAAGGAAGGAATTAACTACACCGATATTTTTTGCTCTTGTGGTGAAGCTAAATACTATCAGGATAGTGATGAGTATTGTAGCTATTAAAGATCTTTATCTCGAGCAGTTGGACATGAATACGATGTTTTTCCATAGAGATTTAGAAGAGGAGATATACATACACCAGTCAGAAGGTTTCTCAGAAGAAAAAAAGAAGAACCTGGTGTGCAGACTCAAGAAGAGCTTGTATGACCTGAAACAAGCCCCAAGACAGTGATATAGAAAGTTTGACGGATTCATACACAAGGAAGGTTTTCAGAAGTGCAACGCCGACCACTGTTGCTACTTCAAAAGATATCAGTCTAATTATATCATCTTACTGCTGTATGTTAATGAGATGTTGGTTGTAGGTGCAGATATGGAGGATATCAGGAGTTTGAAGCAGCAATTGTCAAAAGAGTTTGACATGAAACACTTGGGTCCAACACAAAAGATCATTGGAATGCAAATCATGAGAGACAAGAAGAAATGGTTCTTGCAGTTATCTCAGACAGAGTACATCAACCGTGTTTTGCAAAGATTCAACATGGGCGACGCCAAGCCAGTCAGCACACCCTTGGTCTTTTATATTCATTTTGCAAATGAGAAACTCTTTTCAAATCAAAATAAAATTTGGTCAAATGATCAAGCCTACCACTATAATCACATTTGTACACATGAGCATGCTTATGATGAACTTTATGTGCATGTGTATGTGTATGATGTGATGAGGCTTGATGGAATGCACAAGTGTTAATATTATTAGATTTTGAGGGTTTTTGTGCATTATAACAAAATTTAGCAAGATGGCCTTTACGGCTGTAAATAGTACACTTATAAATTTTGTTATACATGTGTGCATAATGTGTAGGAGTATTGGAAGAATTTACACGTGACTTTGCACACAAGTCCATAAGCTTGTTATTATTTATAATGCATATTTTAAGGGTTGAATCTAAAGAAGATATACGGTTTTTCATTTGATTCAACTCATCATTAGGCATATTTGCATTGACAATGAAAGTAGAGCAAACATGATCATTTTTAAATGATGTAAATTCATTTCTAATAGACTCTACTTCTAACATTGCATCATTCTTCTCATGAATTAAGCTAGCAACTTTGGAGCTCTAGGTAATATGATCCAATTTTATTTTTTTACTATTTTCTTTAGGGATCATATTCTCTTTAGCAATAGTATCAAATTTAGATGCTAGCAATTCATGATCGGATTTTAAAGTTACATACTTGCTTTTTATCTCTACAAAATTATGGTGTAATTTCTTATAGATATATATATTAATCTATCATACGCACAAGCGAGTTCATCAATAATTACATTACATTCGGATTCGGGCTCACATACCTCACTAGGGCTATCACCTAGTAGCATTGTACGTGATGACGCTCCACTTGAACTTGAAGGATCCTCCAAGTTCCCTTGATGTGCTTCTATGAATTTTCACAATGTATAAGCACTATCAAAAGAATCAAGCTTGTTAGAAAAGGATGAATCAAAAGCATTAAGCAAAAATTCTAACAAGAGTTTGTTCATTGTAAACATTTTCTTATCTTCATTGCTCCATTTGGATTTCTCCAATGTGGGCACAACATAAGCATAATCAATAACTTTTCACAAATCAAAATGTCTAGATCTAACAAAAAGTTTAAATCTAACACGCCATTGAGCATAGAAAAATTATCAATTCTTGGAGCGATATTAATCGCATAACTTAAGCTAGGTGCACCGTGCATGTCCATGATATGTTATGCAAATAATATACAACAATCTTAAAACTAGATTAGCAAGATATGATAACTTGGATTTTTGACTCTAGGCGATTAAGTCACAAATCAATAGCACCAAGCTCTGATACCAAATGAGATTACTCTAAAGGGGGGTGAATAATGTAATATACTAATCTAATCCGATTTAATATCAATTTAAAACTTATTAACACTTTATTCTTGCAAATATGATATGCAACTAATTATGAGCAAGAATATGCAACAAAGAGCGATATAAACATAAAATAAAAAATAAATGAGATAGTGTGCAAATAATCAACACAAACACACAAAGATAATCACGGAGTTCAATCCTTCCGACCTACGTCTCCGCTCCCCACACCCGGGGAGAATCCATTATCACAACGGGGTTTTAACGTTCACCCAAAATGTTTACACCTCACAATCAGTTTTCTAGCTCATCGAAAACTTTCACAATCACACACACTTGTAATCACACTCTACACCCTCTAAGTGTTGACCTAACCCGTATTGTCTTCCTTAAGTGCTCAGATTTACAAACTCTCCCTAGGCTTTACTACCGATGCCACTCCTTTTGGAACCGACCCCGTCTCTCACCACACACTCCTCTCGGTGTACAAGTGTATTACAAAGAGTATCTCACAAATAAGCACAAATACAAATTATTTATTCTCTACAATGGATGAGAACTCAATGTAAGCTCACACTCTAAGTAACACTCAGCACAACCCAAATAATACAATGTATAAAATACTAAAAGCTCAATAGGTTGTGTGTAAATAAAGAATAAAATCAAATATAAACTCAATTAAAGTCTAGCTTATGGAAATAATAATCAAACATATAAATAGCTAGAGATTGATTTTAAAAAATTTCTCCAATGATAACAAGAGTGAAAGAGATGAGATGAAAGCTCAAACACGAAATGATGATCTCTTCTTCCTCTTGTAAAAACCTCTTCACATAAACTTTTGTAAAACACACTTAAACAAACTTTAAACACCCTTTAAACTTGTTTAAAAACTCTCTTGATAGTTGGAAATAGTTATGACAAAGGGGTATATATAGGGTAGAAGAAACTAGTCCAAGAAACCAACAAAAACCAATAAAAACATTAAAAAATACAAAATCTAGAAACTAGTCATAAAATAGTATAATCAAGTCTTTAATCCATAGATACATTATTTTGCAAACTTACAAAAGTATAAAAATGAAAAACATGATTTTATTGATTTGAATATGTCAAAGCTTGATTTTAATGAAATCATTTCAAGCACGTATAAACATGAAACAAATATGTGTGCATATAACTATATCCATGTGTTTCATATTAATGTGGTTAAACTTGAAAGAAAATAAAATGAAAACGATGTGTGTGTGTATAAAATTGAGCTTGAAATATTTGCACACAAGTATAAACTCCTAAATACTAAAACACTATACCCAAGCTAATGATCTCTCATTGAAGTTCGAGCTTGGTTGCGGATGTAGCTTGATCTTGAATCTTTGACTTGAATGTATTGGCTTCATTCCGGTATTCCGCCAACCTCCATTGAATGTCATCGTTAAGACGCAATCCATCCAACCTCCAACATCGATGTTTGTCTAGAATACCTAATAAACAAAACACAAATACTAGACAAATAATGTTAAGGATTGTTTGTAAATCATAAAAACAAGATTAGACCTTAGGCTCATAAACATGAAACCTAACAGACATCACAGTTCCTGGCTTTTTGGGCCAAAGATCTGCAGCTAGTCTGTATTGAATCTATTGTGATTGTGATTCCCTAATGCTAGGCAGCTCTTAGCTATTGTTTTCCATATTTACAGTCTTTATCTTGTATTATGACCTTGGTCATTTTCGGACCTCTCTATGGTATCCCACTTAAAGAGTTTCTCTTGGTTTCTTCACTTTTATGGTTCTGACTCTGGCATCATTTGGACGACCTAGATCTTTTATAATTTTGTTTAACATTTTTTTTATTTTTTTTGGAGAATAATGACGGGAAAATTGATCTCTCTTCTGAATAAAGAAAAGATAATGAAACATCGTCGATAAAAAAAATACTGGGAAATAGTAGATAATACAGTGGTAAATGGTTAAATAAGTGGGCATAGGTGAAACAATCTATTTTATCCAACTTCAGCAAAAACAAAAAGGGCTACACTCTTGTTTAGATCAATCGAGATGGAAATCCTACTAATTGTGACAGGTTTCTGTAAATGATTCCAAGTTGCATTGGTCCTGATTGAGGTTAAAATATCCATTATCAGGGAAATTTATCAGATAGGCATGAAACAAAAATCTACAACCATAATAGTTATGAATACATATTACTTCTTGCAAGTTGTATGTAATGGTAAAAGCAACAGAATGACATACAATTAATTCGTAAATCGTAACATAGGACTAAAGATTACTGATGTTATTTCGATATAAAAGAAACAAATGAATTGCATACATGACACAACGAATAACCAATCAAGAAATACTTTACAATTATTTGCTGAACAAATGTTACATATTGATACAACAACAAATATCATGCATGTGTATCTTATATTCATAACTATAAGCTGTTTCCCTATTCAACTTTCAGGATCTCGTCCGAGCTGGATTCAGAATCATTTATCTCCTTCACCAAACGAATGATCTTCTAGAAGACTACCAACAACTTCTTCATCAATTTCCTCATGCTGAGTCTCCCGAAGTATAGGAGTATCGATAAACTTAACCCACTTTTTATACTTCACATATCCAATCGCAGGATATAGAACAAACCCAAATAGAATTACAAGGCCACTTACAATAACAGTCCTTGTTGAGGCCAGGCACATAACAAGAACAAGCAAGAACATAGGAGGTAGAGAAATAAGAATTGCACCAATATTGCCTACAGGAACTTTATACGGCCTATCAAGATCTGGCTTCTTAAACCTGAGTTTGATGAAGGCAGCAAATTCAAGAAGCATTCCTATCGCATAGAGAAAGTTCAGAAACTCTAGGATCTCTTGAAAGCTCATCCATGATAGGAGTATTACCCCAGTTGCAGAGCAGAGGATGCTAATTGTTGGAGTTCCGTATTTTGATCTACAAAAGCACCACTGTCGTTAGAAGATCATCATCATTCAGTTAACCTCAAGAGATGTTTACTGATGAATTCAAAAGAATGTTACTGTGAACAAATATAGGCCACGCTCGTCTCTGTTTCTTTTTGGGACAAATTTACGGAATTATAAATTGCTAATTTTGAAATATCGCATTAGCTGCTGTCTATAGTGTGAAATATCATGTAGAGAAAATTATTACTCATCGATATATAAACGAAAAATTCTTTTACTTCACGCCTCTATGGTGTACATGGCTTTCTATACAAGACCCTCCTGCAAGTCCTTCGTTTTCTCTGGATGGGCGTATAATTGTGAACGTTATAGGCGTGTAAAAAAGTACAGATGTATATGAGATCTCATATAGAGTTGAGCCGCAAAGTTAGTCTCATCCAATTTCCTCGAGTACTATCCCTGGTGCTCAACTTTGATTATTTGTCGATCGAGTTCTGTCATAGGATGGTTCTACTTAACAAGTAACATTCTCCTGCACAATGTGAGCATAATTATGCTAACTCGCGAACTGTATGAGCCGAACAAAATTTCAGTATTTCGAAAATGAAATCACACAACACAACACAAGGCAGCCAACAACATGTCCTTAATGCAAAGACGAGCGATGCTAACTATACTCTACTAATCTCATGCTGCAGCGAGACTAAGAAACAAGCATGTAAGGTCCTAAACACAAACATGTATGGGATTAGTACTATGTTTACTTAGCAATTTATCATACGCACATAACCAAATAGTACGGGGTAAGTAACTAAGTCAGCACCTCAATTGGCTATCACTCGTCAAAACACAGGCGTACACATACCTTCTAGCAAAGATGGCCGGAATCATCCCCATCTCCGCCATCCCAAGCAGCTGAAAAGAATCCCCGCTCATCTCCGCCTCGAACAACCCCACGTTTCAGCACCTCAATTGGCTATCACTCGTCAAAACACAGGCGTACACATACCTTCTAGCAAAGATGGCCGGAATCATCCCCATCTCCGCCATCCCAAGCAGCTGAAAAGAATCCCCGCTCATCTCCGCCTCGAACAACCCCACGTT